TAATCAAATCGTAATAAATGGTGCGACAAATCGGCAGCTAAATTCGGAACCAATATTTTGTTCAGAACGCTTATTGAATAAAAACGACTCATAAAAGCCCGAGGTTGTCAACTATCTCAACTGATTTGGAGCGAATCGGCCAGGCCAACTCGATTATCGGTTATAACAAGGGGCTTCGCAACCAGCAATCAACTTGTTTTGGCTTTCATTGAATGCACGAATACAAGCATGCTGTTCTTATTGTGACTGTGTATAGAGCTATAGGCAATGCCTAGGCGAAAAACAACGGAAATTGTGACCGATTTTTTTGCTATTGCTGCTGCCTCCCAAAGCCTCAGTGTGGGCAAAATGAGTGTTTCGGGTGGTGACTGGTGACTCTTCAGCTGAATCTCGCGAAATGCACTTACACAAATATCCAATTCATGAATCCGCTCTGGGTTGTTCATTTTTTAATATAGTGAGAACCTCCCGGCCATTTCTTAAAGCTGTTATGTTATCTTAGTGAATCACAAATCACACTGAAGTCAAAATTGCAGTTAATTCATCCATCGTGAACAGAATTTTCAATTTTGCTTTTGCGTACATGCCGTTTAATGGATTTAAAATACCAGATTTAGTAAATAAGCTATAATGAGCAGCGAGAACACGTAAAAACAGAAGATTGCCGCATGAAAATGAGGTTGTATAACGGTTCGCTTGACATTCGTTTTCTGGAAACCAATATACGAGAAGGGTGAGGTACAACGGAATTGTGAAAAGCTGTGGTTCGAGTGTACGAAGTTTTCAATTTAGTGCGAGTGACATAAGTGTAAATGGAGCGCGAGAGGGTTGAGTGTAAAGGATGTGATTTGCATCAGAAAAGATTGAGTTACACAGACGGGCACACGTCTGAATGTGTTGGTTGACAATGGAGTTGACCAGGGCCACATAAGCGACAGTTCCATATCTAGGAAGGCTATTCGGAGAGCAATTGACCAATATGAAATGCTCAGACAACGGATCGGGGAAGAAAATGGGGGAGCAGTAAGTCCAATGGCATAAAACGCCCGAGAAAATAAATTTAGCAATGACATGCAGCGGCGCCCCCATTTGTGAGACGTAAAGTGTCAACTTCCTGACTTTAAGAAATGTTTGTTGTACTTGGTAGGACCATTTGAGGTCAGCAGATAGAGAACATTCAAGGTATTTGAGGTGTTGTAACCTTTCAACATCTTAGCTGTCGAACAAGATGTTATAAACAGATGATCCGGAAAGTGTTATTGGTCTACGATTAATGGAAAAAAACTTTGTTTGGATTTAACACCATCGGACCACTCGGGAATGGAACTTTTGGCTGATTGAGGGGTTGTTGTTGGATGCACCACCAACCACTACATCATCCACTTATTTAAATGTGAAAACAGTTGGGATGATTGGTAAGTTTTGGATGTAAAGGGAGAACAGAAAAGGGGATAAAATTGCTCCTTGCAATACACCTCAGTTTACAGTGACAGTGGAAGGCCTAATACTATTGAGAAACGTGGATTGGCGTCGGTCAGTAAAATAGTTATGCATGTAATTCAACAGATGTGGCGGGATATTGTGTTGCTTTGCCGGCATCAACAGAGTGTTTCTATCAATTGAGTCAAAAGCGTTTTTGTAGTCCAAAAAGCGAACATGAACAGCTTTGTGTTTTTGGTCGATGGTGGATGAAAAGGAATGTGTAAGACAAACAATCGCATCTACAGTAGAGTGACGTTTACAATAGACAGACTGGTCGGAATCACAAAAATCAAGAGAAAGGGATAGATCTTTAACAATGATCATTCTCTCAAAAACCTTTAGTACCGCAGATGAAGCAACTGGCCGAAACCTAACCTTTTCTTTCTTAGGTACTGGAATGATGCGAACATTATGTCATGTGTCAACTAGTCCACCTTCTGACAGACACGTATTAAAGATTAATAAAGAAATTTGTGCCAGGTGGTTGGGACATGATTTCACAATCACTGAGACAACCCATCAGGACCGGAGGAATTGCTGCAGCTGATAGCATTGAGATCCTTTAAAACTTGCTCTGTAATAGCAGTCACAGGAGGATAGAGACCAAGTGACGTACTTGGTCTCGGTACTGCCTGCACGCTCATTTTCCAACAACCAGTAAGTGTTGATCCTGCCACATGCATAATAAGAAGTTAATCGGATGAAATATATATATATATATATTAAAATGATGAAATGGAACTGAAAAGTACGGTACAGAGGAGTATCTCCATTGAATCTTGCTACATGGACCAAAAACCGCAATATTAATAAATAATAAGACAAAAGTTCACTCAAGAGGCACTGTTTACGGACCACCGACTCGATCTTCTCGGTACGAAAAGTAATAGGGGACAGGGGCACGGGTAATGTGGACATCAAGTGTGTGCTTTTTCCTACAGAAGGCCAGTGAGATCGATTCTCAAGTTTGATGCTCGGGAATTATTATATATACGTCAAATAGCAACCGATCAAGAGTACACAGTGCGCATGACGAAGATAGATAAACCAGTAGGGGGAAAACCCGTAAACTCTTTCTCTCGAATAATTCCTTGATCATACCTCTAGTTTCCATCTTGTATGAAACAAAGGAAGGAATTAGGCATTTTCTCTTCCGTAGAATAGGCGGGCGTAAGATGTATGGATCACATCCGGCGGGATAAATGCAGTGTTCGGGGAATGAGCGTGGAATGAAGAAACGTTCTGGGGGAAATCATGAAGTGAAAAAAACCAACTAACTGGTATCCCTAGCCATGTAAACTGGCATCATTACACGGGAAGAGTAACAAAAGAACTCGAATCATTTTTTGTGAGCACGGAATACCCAAAGTTCGTTGTTTAAAGCTTTTGAGGTTAACGCCGAGAATGTTTCTCGCTCAGGACTATTACAATTTATAACCATCACACAGACGCAGACAGACGAATTAGATTGTGATCGGTAAATCGAGTCTTGCACAACTAACCTGGCCTCATATAGATAACAGTAATATGACAAGTTACTTCGACACCAGAAGGTGATTTCACACACACACACACGGCAGTGCATACGCAAAAAATACACGGGCCTGCTGATTAATCCACAATATTGCCGGTATTCGCCTTGACAATCGATTACACTTACATTGATCGGGTTATTGACCGTGCCCAGGATGCGGTGAACTATGATCGAGGAGTGTGCATGTCTTCATTCATTGCTTCAAATCACCTCACACTGATCTCATGACCGCGTGCATGTCCGACGGTTAGATTTGATTCACCCACTTACAGACTTCCGTCTACGAATAGTATCTAAATTGGTCATAATCTTCCACCTTGGTCTCATCTAGCATTAATTCATTCATTCTCGATTGGCTTGCTGGGCTCTGCAGCCACGTCTCTCAAACAGTCTTCCGCTTCACTGAAGACCAAGTGTTTACCATTACGCTGTTGGTGTGAGGTCACTGACCACAAGGTTGTTCCCTTGGAAAGGTGCTAACTACATTTTCGGTTGGCCAATTTTTAGTTCGCGTTGAACTGCGCAACCAGATCTAACCAACACAGCACACTTTTTTTTATTACACACTTAAGTGTGATAAACAGCAGACGGGGCGAACCCCATAGTCACGAGGACCTGCCGTTCAGTGATGGAGACCGGTAACCTGAGCCCCGGGAATTGGAGTGGCGAACCACATAAGGCTCCCATAGGTTAGGTGTGGTATTGAACCGGACGACAGCACAGCTGCCTACCACCAAAGTTGGGTGGTGGTGGCGGGGCTCGAACCTCGGACCACAGGGCCCAAAGCACGCGCCACTGCGCCACATTACTCTCAGCCCACTGCATTCTGCTCAATGTAGTTCAGCTGGATGTGATGCAATTCCCGTCAAAGCATGCGAACCGTATGACAAGTGCACTGGGGTACAACGTGCAAAACTCCCACCACAAGCCACATTCGCCCAACCTCAGACCCTTCATGAGTGCAAAATGACTGCAGTGAGTCTGTGAGGTAACAGACTTCCAGTGTCAGGAAGTACACCCGCAAAAAGAATAACTTCCAGGTGGTCAAAGGTATTGTCCGAATACAGTGCAATGGGCACCGAGAGCTCCGTGAATGCAAAACACTAATTGTCGTGATCGAGAATTTGGTTATCTCGAGCATAAGAGAGTGAAAAGAATATGTCTGCCAGATAATAGACGAGTGACTTACTTCGGNTGCGATCAATATTCACGTCGAACAGATGCACCTTGTCGTACAGACCTGCCACTTGACCCTGCGCGTCAATAACCACATGCGTATTGTATATTCGTTCGTCCTGCTGATCCTCAACCTAGATCAAGGCAGACAAAGATGGAATGTTAGAATTGATAAGGACTTTACTACACTATACGACAAACGAAGCGTTCGTCACGCCCGTGGCTAATCGCGAGGAAAGAAGAAATTGAGGTACTAAAAGGAAAATATTTTTCAGAAGTCTTTCGGAGCCCAGCACTTAGACTGGCACAATTTCAATCCCGTGGCATAGACACACAGACACAAACACACAAACGCATGTAACAAACTAGACACGAAGGTAAGAAAACCTTGACCACGTTGCGTCTTTCGTTTGGAGACCTCCATGGTGTCTGTTACAAGACAGAAACCGAAACTGTAGCACAACAAACAGTAGGAGTGTGATGGTTGTGAAAACTGTGGCTGAAACACCAGCATAAGCCAAATTGTTCTTGATTTCCAACTCTCAGATGTTGTGTTTGAAATGAATTCTGATCATGATTATTTATGAAATAAATTATTTGTTATTATTATTTGTTGTTTTCAACGTGGCACACCAGATTAGATGCTTGCAAGGTAGATGCTGGAAAATTTATGCCAGATGTGTTCTGAAGTGGCAATCTTTTTCGATCTTTTTGATCGAGATAGATATCAATCAATAACGAACAAGCAAATTATCGATGCGCATGTTGGCAGGACGTATTCACGCAAACCGCAGGTGCGTATGCAACACACACCATGTTAAGACGTTTTTGTAGTTCACCTAATGAAACATCTTTACACGGAACTTGGGTAATCTAATATCTAAGTTGGGTTTCTCCCTGCTTAATCTCGAATATGATCTACTTATCCGGTTAGGAAGAGAAATATGTTGGTGAATCTGTGTAAATCGGGATGAGGGTCAAGACCAGGACCAGCCAATCGCAACCGAACCTTGGTGATAGACAGCAAGTTGTGCTTTCATCCGGTGCGATACTGCGTAGTTTACGTGCGCTATGTCGGTCTACCAAGCCAAGCCCCAAAGAGTTGGCTTTTATACACATCGGAGTGTGACGGACAGTAGACGGGGTGGAACACCATAGTCACGAAGACCTGTTATTGCTTTATCGACACCGGTAACCTAGGGCCCGGGACTTGGAGTGGCGAATCACCTAAGTCCCCACTAGGTTCGGCGTCGTAAAGAAAAGGTCGACAGCAAAGCTGTCTACCACCAAAGTTGGGTGGCGGGGATCGAACCTCGGACCACAGGGTCCAAAGCATGCCTATGACAGCAACTAAACCACTGCAGGTACTGTCGGTTATGGATTACATGGTCACTCACCATAGAATAACGCGTGTCCGATAACAGATGGTAGTCATTAACAAACAATTGTGCAAACAATTCCTCTTCACAATAAGAAGCCTACTAAGGTTGAAATATGATGATTTTAGGGTGAGTTCATGTTTTTATTAGATCTGCTCCAAATTGGCTGTAACGATCAGCACAAAAAGGGAAGCAAGAGAGAAGAGTCTGGTCGATGCCTGTGGCAAATCGGTTGCGTTAATTAAATACAAATAAAGAAGTCAAAAACGTCGGGACAAAACGCAGCGTTCTCCCCATGAAAGTAATTATCACAAAGAATTCTTAATAATAAGTCTGAAGATCACTTACCTTGCGATGTGCTCCACCGAGACTTAGCCACATGTGAAGATCTTTTGCTAGTCTTTGATAAGCAGAAATCAATTGACCACTGATGGGCTCGGCGGACTTCAATGTCTGACTTCGTGAAGTTCCAATAAAATCGAAGCATTCGGGTAAAAATGCCATCTATGGAAAATGTTTAGTGTTAGGTATATCGTGCGAACCTGGGCTCCTTTTGAAGATGCTTCTGTGATAAGTTGTTTTGCTTGTTCAAAATTGTGCTGCTTATCTGCGTTGCATGTCATTTGAATGACCCCAATTTTTGTAGCCATATTTCGCAAAACACTTCTGTTGACAGTGATGCGGCGCAGAAAAAATTGAGACAGAGTCATTCAAGAAAGAAAGTACAGATTCAAGTTGTATAGTGGCTGGAAAAGAAATCATTCATAAAGAAACGAATTATAGCACCAAAATGCTCTTCCCAAAATGTGTTTAGCACGGCGGGGAAACAAAATTATATTGGAAAGCAATTACAAATCCTTATTCGTGGATGGAATAAATGCGCTTTGCAATTGTTAAGTCAACAGTACCCACATCGAATCGAATAAATGCTGCAGCAGTTCGGTCAGTAATGCTCTACGGTGCAAAAACTTGGCCCTTGAGGAGACAGGATAAAGATAGACAGTGGGTGTTTGAACACCGCTGTCTACGTCGCACTGCACGAGTCCGGTGGGGTAACCGGACGAGCAATTCTGAGGTGAGGCACAGAGTTTCCGGTAGTCGCGCGCGTCCACTGGAGCAGGTAATTGACCTCCATAGATTACGTTGATTGGGGCATGTGTTATGCACGTCACCAAATAGGTTGCCACAGCGAGTGATGTTCACCGAGGCAAGCAGTGGATGAAAAAAGGTCAAGAACGGTCAGACGAATCCCTGGCATACAGGTATGAAGACTGTAACCAGGAGTCCGGGTAACATAGGTCCCGTTAGGTTCCCTGGCTGGGGACCTCGGGATGATCGTTCCCGATGGTTAGAGACACTGAGTGATATGTCTGGGTGTCACAAACAGTGGCGCTCATGCACCTACTCATTATTCTCTTATTACCAGTATATTGAATTCTCTATCTTCCGCTTGAATTTCCTCTCGACATTCTCCATTCTGCTCTTTTATCCAAATGAGCGGCCAAAAGACAAAAACTAAAACCGGCAACCGAAAGTATATGGTTAACACTTGTAAAAACTGAACTGAAAACTCTAAATTCTGATGCCACCTCTCTCTGCGGGGNGCGATCCTTTTACATCAAAATCCGAGTCATCGCCTTCAGCACTTTTCGCTCGAGTTCACCACAGAAAATGGTGTACATCAGGGTTCCGTTTCTACTTATCTGCAATAAATTTACTTCTTGAAACAGCCCTATCCTCGTGTGAAAATAAGGGCACTGATTTGCTCCTAGGTGGAAGACTGTCTGATGTAGGGCATGCAAACGACATTGTGCGTATAACCATCCTTGAACAGTGAAATAAAGTGAGGCGAACTTCACCGGTCGCTGTTAAGTGAAGATGCCTCAAGTGAGGGGATTCCTCAAGAAAATTCACCTGCATTGGTCAGGGCAACCTGGCAGTATTCGGTCCACATGCAAATCATATAACGTTTTTCTTCTTTTTATGAAGATTACTGTACCGAGAT